ACTACTACTACTGCAACTACTACGACTACTTCTTTTACTATTGTAGCTACTTTTGCTGTGCTTTTTTTTCCTTCTACTACTCTACGATTAATTCTACGACTACTTCGACTACTACTGCTACTACTACGACTACTACTACTACTACTACTACTACTACTGCTACTGCTACTGCTACTGCTACTACTTGCTACTACTACTACTCCTACTAATACTTATACTATCACTACTTCTTCTACTACTACTACTACTACTACTACTACTTCTACTAATACGATTACTGCTAGTACTACTACTGCCACTACTACTACTAATACGACTACTACTACTACCACTACTACTACTACTACTACTATGGCGACGACTGCGACTACGACTACTACCTACTACTACTACTACTACTACTACTACTACTACTTTACTAATGTTTACTATTACTATTACTACTACTACTACTACTACTAAATTATATAGATACCACTACTACGACTACTACTACTACTACTACTACTACTCCTACTACTACGACTACTACTACTACTACTACTTTTACGACTGCTACTACTACTACCACCACTACTACTACTACTACTACTACTACATTCCTACTACTACGACTACTACTACTTTTACTACTACTACTACTATTACTACTACTACTACTACTACTACTACTACTACTACTACGACTACTACTACTACTACTACTACTACTACTACGACTACTACTACGACTACGACTATTACTCCTACTTTCTATTACCACGATTACGGTTAATTCCCTGCGCCATCGGAGGGCGCCAAGGGCCCCACACAGATCCAGATGAGACCTCGCTCTCCCGGGGTGCTTTCAGGCGTGCTGTTGCCGGCACTTTCCTGCAGGGGAGCCCAGCGCAAAGCCTCCTTGGAAAGGGTTGCAGGAAGTGCCGTGCCCTCTCGTTTCCAAAAGTGCCGGATGGGCAGGGAATCCATCGTTTGAGCTTTCCGCTGGAGGCTTCTTTCTATGTCTCTCTCTGGGGCGTTCGGGTGTGTGTGGGCACGTCTTGGGGAGCCAGAGCCGTGTTGAGTTGGTTGCGGGACACCTTGCCTTCGTTATGGGTCGGCTTAGCGGCGTCTCGGAGCCGTTCAGATGCCGACAAGAGCGACGGAGCGAAAAGTTGGGGTGCGTGTCTGTTGGCCCCTATATTCGAAGTATGTTTGTTTGGTTTCAGAGGTACGCCTCCGGTTCATTAGCCTCCCTTTCCTCTCGTCACATTCGCATCCTCTCATTTTCAGATCAGCCACATTCAGGCTCACCCATACCCTGACTCACTCACATTCAGATCTACACGCAGCCTCATTTACAGAGACTCATTAGGCTCACTCATACTCAGATGAACTCACTCACGCTCAGTCACACTCAGACTCACGCACTCAGATCACTCACGATCACATATACTCACATTCAGCTTAGTTACACCTTTCTTACACAGAATTTGTCACTGATATCCAGACCCAGTCTTACTCGCTCCTCATACTCAGGCTCGCCCAAGATCATCACGATGTCGCAGGCATAGCACTTGAGCACCCCAAGGAAGAACCGCCAGGAGGTACCACACGTGCCCGTTCGCGCTCTGATTGCGGTCTCGAGCGATTCGCTCTTTTGGCTGCTTTTGAGCTATAGGCATGGCGCTCGAACGCCCCAAGCGCCCAGATCGTGGGGATGTCTCGAGCGTTTCGCTCGTTTGGTAGCTTTAAACTCTCTTTTATTTTAAGAGCGTCATGTCCACTTCATTGTAGCAGGCATGCCATGTGAGCAACCCAGGGCGGAGCCGCTAAGGGGCGTTGTTGCATGTCCCCGCTCGCGGTGAGATTGTGGGGATGTCTCGTGGTGTTCGCTCGTTGGGCGTCCCCGATTCCTCATTTCTGAGAGCCTCATCGCCACTTCGACATAGCAGGCATAGCCCTTGGGCACCACAGGGAGGACCCGGCAAGGGATGTTGCACTTGCGCATTCGCACCTAGAGTGTGGGTAGTCATCGAGCCGTTCGCTGGTTTTGGCAGCCCCCGTTCGCTGGTCATAGAGCCACGTGATCACCACGATGTTGTAGACAAAGCACATGCGCACACAGAGGGGGAGACGCCAAGGGGTGTTACCCTTGCCAGTTTCGCGCGACGTGCGGGGGGTGCCATTGGAAAATGCTCAGCATCCTATCAGATAGCTTACAGGCCTCATGGCACACCCCAGCGTGTCGAAAGCACGGTGGCGGATATTTCCTGGTGCGTGGGCCCTTCGATTTCATTAGATCCTTCCTGCGGTTCCTCGACCTCGCTGTCGACGGGGGGCCCTCGGCGCCGGCGCAGCGGTTCTCGCTGGGCAATTGGCCGAACCACGCCCGCTTCACCCCGGCGAAGCAGCTCTACCTGGACGTCGGGCAGCACGGCCTAAGGCGCGAGGGCGCGCGGGGGAGGAGGAGGAGGAGGAGGAGGAGGAGGAGGAGGAGGAGGAGGAGGAGGAGGAGGAGGAGGAGGGGTGCAGCCCAGGGTGGGGTCAGGGAGTGAGCCCGGACATGCTGGCGTCGTAGTGTCAATCACCACGGGAGGTGTCTTGCAGTTTCCAGCCTCCAGGGGCCCTCGCCGGGCCCCGAGACCGTCAAAAAACGGCTCGGGACGAAAAAACGGCCGCAGGAAAAGGTTGGTGTTTCTGGGGGAGCCGCATTGAAAGAAATGCCCGAGACGGACCAACCCCTGTTCCACGCGAGGCGAATTTTGGCATGAACGACCCGTACAGAAGAAAACCCATCGCCAGACATGCACGGTCTTCGTGGTCTTGCACTATGCCGTGTCCCCCAGGAGCCCACGAAGGTGGCAGCAGTTTCGCACTTCGCAGCCCCCGAGGGAGCCACCAGGTCTCGCTTGGATCCTCGTTGCCCTGCGATCCGCCTTGCCTCTCAGTAGCCTACAAAAGTGGCGACAGTTACGCACCTTGCAGCCCCCGAGGGAGCCGCGAGGTCTCAAATGATTGCCGCTGGCCTCACCTCCGCCGTGCCTCCCAGGAGCCCACGAAAGTGAGGATGCAAGAGGCAAGATGAGGGGGGACAATGTGGGCCGGAGGCTGCGCGAGCAGTGCTCTATCCAAACGAGAGCCCAACCAAGGGAGGGTTGGGAATCTAGACATCGCATGTCTGGAAACCCAGCTTCCTTTCCCACACTGGGTGTTTTCGCCCGGCTTCGGCCCCCGCTACCTTTGATTTCAGATCGATCCGCTTCAATAAGTGCCCTCGAGAGGTGGGATCTAGGGCTCCAGCGGTGATTCGCTGCGATGTTTCCCTGAAGAGCTTGTCCGCAAGGGTCTTATATTTCTTTCAGAAGCCGAGTACGGGAGGACTGTGATCCAGAATCGGTGGGTCGCTTTTGTCCCCCGTTGTCTCCCGTCCTCGCCAAGTCCTCTCGTTGTCTCCCGTTGTCTTCAGCTGCCTCCTGTAATGTCCCGGTGTCTCCCTATCCCTAGCCCTTCTCCCCTACACTGTTCTTCCTTAGCCTGCAGCCCCATCCCGATCTCTATCCTTTTCCCTACATCCCTAGCCCTATGTCCTAACCCCACCCCAGATCTCTTTCAGCCTTCTCACGCGCATTCGTAAACGCAGTATGCTATGATGTTGTTTTGGGTACTTGCCACGAGGGTGTGATGCATTGTTGTTCGCGGCGTCGGGTCTCTGGGTAGGGACCGCACCCCGCTCGAGACGGACGTTCCCTTCAGGGGGGCCGCTCAGGGGAGCGAGCTCCCTCCCGCCCCACCTCTGCAATTGCCCTATGATGTTCCAGTCTGATTTCGCCTTGGCCACCAGAGTTATGCCGAGCACCAAGAAAGCACCGCAACTGGAGGGTCTTCACGTGTCGGGCTCTGGGAGGCGATGCTCGTTCGACATTGTGCTGATACTTTTCTGTGTGCTCGGAATTATGTCTGGGATGTGGTGCTTAAGCACGATGGGGGCAACATATCCCTTGGCCCACCCTCCTGCGCCCCCCGACGAGGTACTCCGGCTACGTCGACGCCGCCGTGCAGCGCTGGGCGCTGATCGTCGACGAGTACCTGCGCTGCCCCGGGCGCTTCGCGCTGGTGCGCTACGAGGACTCGGGGGCCCCGAATAAGAAGCGGTGATTACACCGTGTCGTGAGCCAGTGGGGCTTCGCGCCGACCGCACGGTTTGGGGCGTCCGAAAAACAAGTCGGGCATGTCCCTCTACAGGAGGAGTTTTCAAAAATAGTTAGACAGTAGACTTGGGACGATGTTTTGATTATTGTGCATGTGTAGAGATGTGAATACATACATATATATATATATATATATATATATATATCTCGGAGTAGGGCCCCGGGGCGGTGCCTGTCATCTCCATGGGGGGTGCAGGGCGCCCCCGGGAGCGTCCGAAGCGTCCCAGAGGGCCCCTGGGACCGCCAGGAACAGTTCGAGACCCCCCAAGACGGCCCGCGAGCGCTCCCAGACGCGCATAGATAGCCTCAGGAATGGCCAGGAAGGTCCGAAGACGTTCCAAGAGAGCTCCATGAGGCCCCGAAGGCATCCCAAGAGGCCCCCCAAGAGAGCCCCGACAAGCCAAAATCGTTGATTGTTATTGTTTTTTTCCGAGGTTTTTGGCCCTCTCGCTTTTTCGGGGTTCCGACGCTTTAAGACCGTCCAAGAGTCTCCCAAAACCGCTCCAAGACGGCCGAGGAGGCCCCCAAGACCGCCCCAAGACGGCCCAAGACACCCCCAAAATCGTCCCAAGACGGCCCAGGAGAGCCCCAAGATGGCCCAGGAGCCGCCCAAGACAGTTCCAGGAGAGCCCCGACAGGGCTTCAAGACTGCCTAAGCGAGCCCAGCGGTCCCCAAGAGGGCCCCGCGAGGCCCCAAGAAGCCCCAAAGAAGCCCCCAAGAGCCTCCCCGGAGGCCCCCAGAGGCTCCCAAGATGCCCAAAAATGGCCCTGAGCAAGCCCCAAGACGCCTCCAGGAGAGCCCAACAGGCCTCCGAGAGGCCCCCAAGAGGCCCACTGGAGGCCCTCAGGAGGTCGTCCCCATCATGTTCCCTTGAAGGCGGTCCGGGAACATGATTCCGCGCCTTGGAGGAGTATTCTGCGCCTTCCGAGGCGCCTTGGACGACGTACGTATGTTTCTATAGATTGTCCTTCTCATGTGTACACAATCCTACATGTTTTACGTATGCGTGTGTATATATATATATATATGTATATTTATATATATATATGTATGTATGTATGTATGTGTGTTTGTATGTATGTATGTATGTATGTATGTATGTATGTATGTATGTATGTATGTATGTATGTATATATACACAAGATTTGAGGGCTCGCTTCGCTTCGCCTCAATCTTGGTCCTGCGGCCACGCGCACCCAAACACTCGGTGAATGGATGACGTCTGCAAGCACATGATGACCGTGAGAGGGGTGGCGGTCCGTCATAATTCCCGGACGGGTCATAAGCATTCCTGTGTTTGGGAGACGGCGACATACCGCGACGAGGCCATAGTCACCGATGAGGGGTTAGAGGAAACGGTGACCACGAGGGGGGTCGCGGCCACCTCCGCAAAGACGCACCCGAGAATGGCTCCAGGACGCCCTCAGGACAGCCCAAGAGAGGTCCGAAGCGGCCCGGGAACACTCCAAGACGGTTAAAAAGCTGCCAAAACGTCCCAGCAGGTCTCCGACAGCACTCCCGGGAGGGGCCCAATAGGAAATTCTCACTGATTTTTAGTGGGTGTTGAAGGGTTTGGGCGTTCTCCCCAGTTCGGCTTCCAGACGCTCCAAGGCGGCCCAAGAGGCCCGAAAGATCGCCTCAAGACGAGCCCAGAGGCCCCCAAGAGACCACCGAGACAGCCCAAGAGGGCCCCAAGACGGCCCAGGAAGCTTCCAAGACGGCCCAAAAGAGCTCCCAGAACACTCCCAAGAGGAGCCCCAGATGGGGAACACGAAGTGACATTTCGAGCCCTCGCCCACCAGAAGCTCCCGAGAGGCCCCCAGGAGTCCGCAAGAGGCCTCGAGAGGCCCCCAGGAAGCTCCAAGAGGCCTCCAAAAGGCGCCGAAAGGGCCCCGCAAGGCTTCCAGACGCTTGTGAGAATGACAATGATGATTATGCAGGGCGGCCTCAGGCTCACAACCTAAATCCCCAATACTGCTCACGCGGCATGCAAGACGCTGCGGAGATATCCTCGAGGTCGGCGGGGGAGCTTCGGAGACGACGGTGACGAAAATGATGACGATGATGACGACGATTATGAAGTTGGCGACGACGATGATGAGGATGATGATGATGATGATGACGAGGAAGAGGATTATGATGATGATGATGATGATGATGATGTTGACAGTGGGAATGATGATGCTGATGATGATGATGTTGATGATGGTGATCGTGATGTGAGTGATGGCGGTGATGATGATGGTGGCGATGCTGACGATCATGAGGACGATGACGGTGATGCCGTTGAGGATGGTGATGCTGACGATCATTATGCTGATGCTGCTGATGGTCAGGATGGTAACGCCGATGCTGATAATAATGGTGGCGATGCTGTTTATGGTGCTTGCAATGCAGGAGTGAGCGGATGATGAAAATGATGACGATGATGATGACGATAACGATGACGACGATCACGACGACGACGACGATAATGATGACGATGTCGATGATGAGGATGATTATGTTGATAATTCAGGTGACGAGATATGACGATAATGACGACGATGGCGATGATGACGATGGTGATGACGATGTTGCTGCTGATGTTGGTGATGGTGACGATTGTGATGATGGTGATGGTCATGGTGATGATGACGATGCCGCTGACGATGACGCCGGATATGATGGTGATAAGGATGGCGATGATGACGATGACGATTGTCCTAGCTAGAACTTGAGCGCGCGCGAAGCGCGCGCGATGGTTCTAGTATATATATATATATATATACATACATACAAGGCTGCATTGGCGCGTCGCGCCATGTACCCTGTTCCTTGAAGCTTGAAGCGGTTGGCCTGTCGCGTCTTCCTCTTTTCTTTTTGAGGCGTGCTCGCTGGCTCGTATCACGGAGAAGCGGGGGAAGGGGAGAAAGGGGCAATTTGAGACGGGCAAAGACTGTGAGTCGGAGACCACGGGCGTACGGAATGGCGTACATGGAAATTGCTGAAGTCCTGGGTACGCAACATAATTTTCAGAAAAGTGGTTGCGAACCTGGGGTTGTGGGCTAACTGCGGCTTTCCGTAATGAAATACCATCTGAGCGGGCGAGAACTCAGGGATCTACATGGGGGCCTGCCGAAGCGGTGTGAGGGCCTTGTGGTCCATCTCGGAGCCACCTCGGATTGTACTCGGGGCGTCTTGGGACTGCCGCCCGCCCGTTTGCACGATTGGGTGAACGTTGAGAAGGCGCCCTGGAGAGCTGTGGAGAGCTGGAATTCCTGTGTGGCCCTGTTGAGGAGCGTCCAGACGGTGTCCCTGGGCTGTCATGGAGCCGCCTATGGGCAGTTTGGGAGTCGTCTAGGGCCTTCATGGCGCCTTCCAAAAGAGTGAGGATGCTGATTTGGCTCGTGTTGGTGCCTCCCCTGGCCGTCAAAGCGCCGCCCATGTGCAGTTTGGGGGCCGTCCCGGGCCCTCGTGGGGCCGCTTTGGCGATTCAGGAAGCGCGTTTGGGTTTAGTTGGAGGCAATGCTTTCGGACGCCCGGCAGGCCGAAGGAACGAATGGTAGCACATCTTACAACATCATTGAAACATCTGTGTTTTTCGGGTTCGAGCGCGTCTTGGAGGTACCTTTCGGGTCGCCTCAGGGCATCCGACGAGGGCCAAGGCCAACTTGATGCCATGTTGGACCGTCTTGGGTGTGTCTTGGGCCTTCCGCCGGCCGCCTTGGGGTCAGTTTGGGGCGGTCATGGGGCCGCTTGTGGGCAGTTTAGGAGCCGTCTTGGGCTCCCCCCCCGTGCGGCTTTTCTGGAATCGGGAAAGGTTTTCGGTGCCTCGCCTGCGTTCTCGGACGCCTGGCAAGCCGAGTGAGGACATAGTCGAAAAGCATACAAAAACCACAGAAAATCAAGATTTACAGGTTTCGAGCGCCTCTTGGAGGTGACATTCGAAGCGCCTTCGGGCATCCAGCAAGGGCCTGGACCGCATGATGCCATCTTGGACCGTTTGTGACGTCTATAAGACCTTGCGCCAGCCGTCGTGGGGTTAGTTTTGGGAGGTCATAGGGGACTCATGTGGACAGTTTGGGGACCGCTTCGAGCGCTCATGAGGCTCATTTGGGCCGTCTAGGAGCGGCTGTCAGTGAAGGCCGAATTAGCGAGTATCCGAAAATCGCACAAAAACCGATGGATCATCCATGTTTTTGGGGATCGAACGCCTCTTTGGGGTGACATTGGGGTGATCTTCGGGCATCTGGCGGGGGTCAAGGCTAGCTGGATGCCGTCCTGGACAGTCTTGGGTGGCTCTTGGGCCTTTCGCCGATCGACTTGGGACTGCCCCCCCCCTGCGTGCACGCCTTGGCAAAGATTTCCAGCCTCCCCCCGTGCCACGGATCCGGGGGGGTCCGTTTCAGGGGAGGGGCGCCCCCCCCCTGATTATAACATTTATGTTATGTTTTGTCCAAAATCCGCCTGTAGGAGGACAAGCCCGACCTAATCCTAGGGATCCGATGTCTTGTTTTTCTCAGCACGGGCTCTCAAGAATTCCCGACCCTTTCCCAGGGGCAGTTTTGTTCGCCTTGGGTACCCGTGCCTTGCGAGGGCCTGTGGCATCCCAAACAGCGAACAACTTGCGTATCGATCTCTTCAGCACGTTGGACGTCAGGGCCTGGGGTTCTCGAGGTCACCGCGCAGTCTGTCTCCGCATCGTTCTTGGCCAGGAGAGCAACATAGGCATAATCACAAACAGACGCTGATACCCATCCAACATCTTGAGAGATGGTGGAGAATCATGAAGTCCAAGTGTTTTATACATAGATATCGGGAATCCTGGGATGTGTGTCGAGTTGTGTGTGTCCGCCTGGGCCCCCTTGGCCTGGGCCCCCCCCCAAAAGAAAGCGAGAGGACTTCTCTGCAGACCCGGCCGGGGCGGTGGAGCTGCTGCTCGGGCAGCTGGAGCTCGGACACCTCTGGACCCCCGCGGCCGCCGAGCGGGTGCGGCGCGCGTCGGCCGTGCGGTACCAGGCGGCGCGGGGCGCGCGCAGCGCGGAGGGGAAAGGGCGGCACGGGCACGAGCCTTCGGAGCTCCGCGCTGGCCTGGACGATGGTCGGGGGCGGCCGAGATCGGGGGTGGACAGAGCCCCCAACAGTGACACGTCGATTAGTGAATGGTCCGTTTTCGCTTCTCGAGAGGGCGCCGCGGCCGTCATTTTCCAGGCTTGCGCCCGCCAGGTTTGGGCCTCAGGTCGTCTTCACTAAACCACGTTTTAACTAAAGGGAGGTCTGTCCATCCCCGACGAGAGGGGGGTGATTGATGACTGCGGGGGGGGTGGACATCAGTGCGCGGGTCATGATGTTTCCCCAGATGCCATGGCGCCTCCGCTAATTTCAATGCGTCCCTGGCCCCCCGCCCACCTGGGCCGCGCACACGCCGCCGGCCACGATTTGCGCCCCCCCTCTTGGACGTCCACCTCTTGGCCGCCCCCGAGATGGTGGAAACGCTGGGGATTTTTTCCCAGCTTCCAATGTCGCCGTGTTTCCCTGTTTGGGGGGTCCGCTGTTTCTTCTGTGCTTCTCTGTTCTGGGAGTCTCGTTCGCGCCGTTGTCTGGTCGGGCCCGTTCTGTACTGTAGTCCATCTTGCTTTGGGCTGCGGTTGTTACCCTCGCTTCGGTTGGCCAAGAAACGAACAGCTAAAAACGGAGAATCAAAGACATGCCACCAGCGTCTTCTACATACATTGAGTCCAGAGGCCTCCCTCGGTTTCGTCCTTCCCAGCGCGGTTCCCTCGGTTGTTGGCTCCTGGGGCTCAAGCCGAGGGAGGGAGCGCTCCTGGAGGGTGGGCGGGCGCGCCTCGAGACAACCGTCTCAGCGGATTCCAGGGTCCGTCGCCGCCCCATGGCACGCTCCCCGGGGGCGCGAAGTAAGGGGGGCGATGAATGAGGGGGGAAGGAAGATACCCCTTTCGTCAAGGGCAGAAAACGCCCCTAACCTGGTTTACGAGGCGCTGTGCGCTGAAACTCCTGTGGGCTGACAGGGTAAACCCTGCGTGATGTGCCGCGTCCTGGCGGCTCTAGGCTTTGGGGGTTCCCAGGAGGTTTACAGACCGCGCACTTGTAACCCAGGGCAGGGTCGTTTTTCCATCCCTCAATTTCGGGCCTTGAAGGCGCCCTTTGGGACCCTCAAGGGCGCCTCAGGGGGCCCTACAGGGCCCCTTTTCTGCAGCCCTCGCTGCCCCCCCCCCCCCCCAATGTACCGCCTCCCCCATTGCGCGCCCCCCAAGCTCCGCGAGCCAGGGAGGGGGGCCCAGCGCCGAACCGAGAAGTCCGCGCGGAGCCCCGAAGGTTTGTGCCTGGGCCGTCTTTGCTCCTTCCGTCGGCGGCCGCGACGGGGACGTCGGGTCTGACGAAAAGGGGGCGGGGATTTCCAGAGCGTGAATTACCTCCCCCGCTTTCGCTTCCATTCAAAACCAAGTCATACCACGCGCCTCCTCGTCAAGCGGCCTGACCAGTACAGGCTGCAATTTGGCATCGTTTGGCATCTCTTGGAAGCGAGGGTGGTCAAAAGCGAGGTAGATTTGTTTTCCCCCTAGATTCGGGAACCGGGGGGGAATGCGAAGCTTGCTGCGTGCACCCGGTCTCGGCCCCGCCGCCGGGCGCTCTCCTCGATGGCGTAAGCTCTTCCTGGCGCCGGGAGGCACCAGGAGAACCGCTGCAGTGTGGCCAATTCTCTGGACGCCCGACATGGGCACGGAAACAATGGGCACTCTAGATTTCGTAATAAAAGGGAAGGGGGTCTGGACCCTCCAAGACAAGCCATTTCAGACCCCCCCCCCGGGGGAGAACCCTCCAAAACATCGTCCCCAGACCCCCCCAGGCCCTCCAAGATAGCCTGGAAGAGACCCCCCCCCGAAATGAGACCCCCCTCCCTTTATTACGAAATCTGGAGTACTATGCCCAACAGCGGATCCTGTTCCTTCTGAACAGGGCTCGCTGTCGGTGCCGCCGCGGCCTGTGTCCATTTGAGACAGGAGGCCGCCTGCCCAACAGCGGCCGCTGCTGGTTTGGGACAGCATTTGTTGTTGGGCATTGTGCCCATTCTTTCCGTGCCCATTTCGGGCGTCCAAAAGAATGGCCAATTCGCGAGAAAAAAAACACCCCCTTTGCTACCAGGAAGCCATGGATGCACGTGGCCCGGCTGGTCTGGGCGAGCGTTGGATACAGTCGTATTGAGGTGTACGATCGAGTTCCGTTCGGGGAGGGTGCCCTGGTGTTCTTCGTTTTGTTGACGTTCTTGTGCATCCTCGGGAGGGTACCCTTGGATGTTCTGTTTGTTTTGGCCGACGGAGGGTCTCATGTTCTTCTGGCCTAGGTCCGTCTGTACACGTGTGGGTGACTGAAGAAAATGGGGTCGACTATGCGAGCATTTGCGCGTAAGGTCGCGCGTAAGCGCCCTCTTCTCCGCGCGGTTTGCCACGCTGGCAGCCCGCGCGCAAGCCGCGGCGTAAGGTCCCCATGTCTGTCTTCTCGCGTAAGTTCCATTTCTTGTCGTCGCTCATGTGGCCAGATAGTTTCACCTCACCTTCCTTCGGTAGCAAGTCATGCCAGCCTTGTGTGACCTCGCAGTTTTGCCTTCAGAGTGCATTCGCGTGCGCTAGCGTCTGGCCATCGATGCAAAAGCGCAGATGTAGCGTCGACCTAGCGTCGGATAGCGTCGATTCGCAAGAGCCGGCAAGATGGCGTGGGAGATTCCCCTGAGATGCCACCGAACGCCCGACCCGAGGACGCCGCCACCGACTTCGGGCCGGGGCTGTTCCGCCGGCTGGCGTGGGCGGTGGCGCAGCGCGCCGTGCTCCTGGGCTACGGGCGCCCCGCGGAGGCGGGCGGGGAGCCCGAGGACCCCGTGGACATGCCCGCGCTGCCAGGCCGCGCGTGCGGGGCGTGAGCGGCACGAGGGAATGTGGTGGCGGCCCGCTCGCGCTCGAAAAGACGCGCGACCGGCACGGCGGCACGGCTCGGGCCTCCCAGGATTCCGAGGCAGGGATGCGTTTATCGTCACCGATCCTCGGGGGTGTCGGCAGGCGGTGGGCAGTTCTGTCTCGCCCACGGCCCGCGCGCGCTCGAGAGGACACGGGTTGGCACGGTCGGCACGGCTCTGGGCCTCCTCACTGTGGTAAGGACCCTGAGATTCGGGCGCTTCAATTTTGCCACGGGGGGGTTAGCCCAGCTTCGGGCCCCAGGACCATCACAGTTCGACCGGGCTCGAAAAATAATCCAGAAAGACGGGGTTCAGGTCTCCGCTTATATTATTGTTTCGCGATGCTGTACTTCGCGACGTCGGATCTCAGTGGATGCCGAGGCAGGGATTTTCCCACGACCACCGCCTGGGAGATCGATCCTCGGTGACTTCGGCAGGCGGTGGCTATGGATTTTGTTGGCCCCCCCCCGGTCCGAAGCTTTCCACGTTTACCGCCTGCCGAGGTCCTCGTGGATCGGTTCCCTACCGCGGTGGTTCCTGACAGTTCCCTGTCTCGGAGCCCTGCGTCCAGCAATGTTCGCATCTCTTCGGGGCGCATCTTCTGCTTCCGCCGCCCTTCCGTCAGCGAGGCCGCCCTCGTTGTAGTCCCGCCGGCCCTCCGCCGAGAAAGCGACGTCGGCCTCTCGATCCCTCAGAGGCGGATCGCCTCGCAGGGATGGACCTCGGGAGGGGTCCGGGGACCAATTTTCTCGGTTTCAGGCCAGGCGGGAGAGCCGCCGTGGTCGCAGCAGTTGGCCCCCCGTCCGGAGCGCTGGAAGACGCACGTCGTCCTGGCGCGAGGCCTCGGGAGCACGCGCGGGGGGGTTCGAGAGGGAGGATGGACGCGTGGGCCTCCTGGCCTCCCGAAGGCAATCGTTGCGTAGTGCGGTCGCACCGAGGTATAAGATCGAGGTCGGTTCGGGGAGGGTACCCTAATATTTTTCGTGTGTGCCCCGAGTTCTGGTGCATCCAGAGGAAGGGTACCCTCGAATGTTCTTCAGTTTGGCCGGGGGAGGGCTTCATATTCTCAAAGGACGTTCTGCTGTCCCAAGCCCGATTGTAGCCGACCCCGAACCAAGCCTCTGGATCTGTTTTGGAGGCCGCCGCGGCGATCGCGGCAGCCCCATATCGGGGCAAGGTTGTTGCCAGGGAGCGGCATGCCCCCTCACACCCCCCCGCCCTCCGCTCTGCGACGTAGACGTGGCTCATATGGAACAATACTCAGGAGGGGGAAAAACGCACCGACACAATTAATCGTCGATTCGCAGGAAGGTATGGGAAAATGTGGGCAGTGGGGGTGAAGACGAAAACCCAGAGAATATTGGAAAACATGAGGAATCCTGGGAGTTGTGTGTATCTACGTTTGTGTACGTGGGCCCCTTTGAATACAGCGACAGAGAGTTGCCAAAGTATGTCCAACGTGGGCAGTAATGTTTTTGGTCAGGGGTCGGCTATCGTGCAACCGTGCAGCACTCTCGCCATCGTTCTCGCCCTCGGCCCTGGCCCTGCTCGTCCATTCCGCTGCGCTGTGGGCAGGCGCAGGCTGCAGTCGCTGCATTCGAGCGCAGTGCCGTGGGTGCGTCGGAATGATTATGGAACTCCCGTGTTCGAGTAGGGGATCGACCACAGAATCAATTGACCCCAACATTGAGTTGTTCGTCGAATCCGTGAAGCATAATTACGGAACTCACTTGTTCGAGCAGGGGATCGACCCCAGAATTGGTTGATTCCAACATTGACTTGTCCGTCGAAGCCACGAAACATACAACGTTCGTCTGTCTGTAGACTCGGCGAGGCAATCAAGTTCCAGGGCAATCAATCATGTAGCCGGTCCCCTACTCGACATGTGTCGTCGCAAGTGGCTCGGCATCTCACTCCCGATCTCCGGCTGCGCGGCAAGTCCCGCCACATATATATATATATATATATATATATATACATACATACATCTATAGATATATATATATATATTCTTATGTTTGTATCACCCGGAAGCCCCCCCACCACCGCCCACCCTAAACCGGACCCCCCCCAAAGGACGCCCTGGACGCCCTTTCGGACGTCGCAGCGGCCTCCTGGACGCCCTCGTCCATACCTAAGTTAACCCCCTGAGAGGGGAAAGCGGCTCCAAGATCATTTCTGGCAGGCTGAAAGCAATGAATACAAGTTCTGTCGATGCGCCGGAAAATTTGATCAAATCGGAACAACACCAGCGAAAGTGGGTCAATACTGAAGAGGCTCGTCTCCGGGCTGCATTGGCGGGCCAAACATTCTCAAATTCGCAGCCGGGGACCGTCCCGCCCTGGAAACTTGACAGCGCCACGGCACAGACGCCGGTGCGTCATGAGCCATACTTCCAGTATCTGGAACCACTAAAGTTTCCATTCATAGATTGGTTGAAGTACAAGTACGGGGGAGATGCCCCGACCGCTGCTCAATGGCGGCCGTTGATTTGGAACCGCACTCACATCTATACCCCTGGGTGGGTGTATGTGCGGCCGTTTTTGCGCTGTCATGTGCGCGCATGTGCGCGGCATGTGCCAGTCATGTGCCAGGCCTGTGCGGTCCTTCTTGGATGGACTTCCTGCTGTGCACGTCGTGCCCGGGCATGTGCGGGGGCATGTGCGCTGTGTTTTGATGTATCCATCATACGCACATGCACGCACAGTCCGACGCACATGCGCGCACATGCCTGCACATGCGGGAGGTGTTCGAGAATCGCAGATCTGTCATCGGCACATGCACGCACATGCCTGTGCAACCTCTCTTCGGGAGGCCGCGCGGGCCCGCACATGCACGCACATGCGGTGAAGCGCGCGGGCGCACATGCGTGCACATCCCAATGCACATGCACGCTCATGCCCTAGGAGCTGTCTGGGACCCCTGTGCCTCCAATGCCTCCTGGCCTTCGCAGAGCTAACCTGGGGCGTGCCAGGGCTTCCTGAAAGAGTTTGTTGTGCGTTTAGACTCGCCCGCTGCTGGCGGGGGCGGTTCTTCGCCCGGTTCGTGAGCTGGCGGTGGCGCGCCCGCCTAATAAAATACTCTCCCGCGCGCCTTCTCAGCTCGGCCGGAGAAGCAGGGATGGGGGGGGGCGAGGTGGAGGGGAGGGGGAGGAGGGGGGGGCGGAGAAGGCGGGCGCCCCCGGCTCGGCTGGCCCGCCTGCCTGTTCGGCTCGGCCAGAGGAGAAGGAGGAGGAGGAGGAGGAGGAGGAGGAGGAAGAGGAGGAGGAGGAGGAGGTGAGAGTTGCGAGGATGTCTCAGGCGAAAGTGGCTTGACGGCCCGTCTTGGCGGCTTCTTGGACGGCCTCGGCGTTATTTTTGGCCGCCTCGGGGCTTTGTGTGGGCCATTTTGCCGGGCCTTTTTCGGTTATTTTCCACGTCAAATAGCCAACCACTTTTCTACTACAGCACCGGCCCCGGCCGGTAGTAGAAAAATCGTGGCATCTAGGCCCGTCTGGACGGCTTCTTGGACGGCCTTGGCGCTATTTTTGGCTGCCTCGGGGCTTTGTTCGGGCCCTTCTGCCGGGCCTTTTCGGTTATCTTCGACGTCAAATAGCCAACCATTTTTCTACTACGCAACGGCCCCGGCCGGTAGTAGAAAAATCGTGGCATCTGGGGCCGTCTGGACGGCTGCCTTGGCGTTATTTTTGGCTGCCTCGGGGCTTTGTTCGGGCCCTTCTGCCGGGCCTTTTCGATTATCTTCTACGTCAAATAGCCAACCATTTTTCTACTACAGCACCGGCCCCGGCCGGTAGTAGAAAAATCGTGGCATCTGGGGCCGTCTTGGCGGCTTCTTGGGCGGCCTCGGCGCTATTTTTGGCTGCCTCGGCCACCGGCGAGCTCGGCCTGTGCGAATACTGTGCGTACCTGTGCAGTGCATGTGCGGGACGTGCACGAATGCCGGGGCCGGCGTTCGTCTCCGGACGCCGGCGCGTTCGCGTCCGGCCAGTTCCGCGTGAGACGTCGTCGGCAATCTGGAGGCCGACGTGCTTTGACATGAAGTGATCTGGCCACCTTCGCCTGAGACATCCTCGCAACTCTGGTCTCGGAGATGCCCTGCCCCATGGTGGCCCGGCCACTTTCGCTTGAGACATCCTCGGGACTCTGGGTTTCGAGACGCCCTGAGCTGAGGTGGTTAGACCACTTTCGCCTGAGACATCCTCGCAACTCTGACCTCAGAGATCTCCTGCCCCATGCTGGTCAGGCCACGGTCGCCTGAGACATCCTCGCAAGTCTCGATTCCGATATGCCCCGAGCTGAGGTGGTCAGCCACTGTCGCCTGAGACATCCTCGCAACCCTGATCTCAATGATGCCCTGCTCGATAGTGTCTCGGCCCCTTTCGCCTGAGACATCCTCGGAACTCGGGGTTCCGAGACGCCCTGAGCTGAGGTGGTTAGACCATTTTACCTTTGGATATCCTCGCCCGAGATGCCCTGAGTTGAGCTGTTCAGGCCACTTTTGCCTGAGACATCCTCGCAACTCTGACCTCAATGATGCCCTGCTCCATAGTGTCTCGGCCTTTTTCGCCTGAGACCCTCGCAACTCTGGGTTCTGAGATGCCCTGAGCAAGTGGTCAGGCCAGTCCTGCCTGAGACATCCTCGCAACTCTGGGCTCCGAGATGCCCTGGGCTGAGGTGGTCAGACCACTCTCCCCAGAGACATCCTCGCAACTCTGACCTCAGAGATCTCTTGCCCCATGGTGGTCAGGCCACTTTCGCTTGAGACATCCTCACAACTCAGACCTCGGAGGTGTCCTGCCCCATGGTCGTCTGGTCACCTTGACCAGCGACATCCTCGCCACTCTGGTTTCCAAGATGCCCTGCCCCATGGTGATCCGGCCACGCTTGCCTGAGACATCCTCGGAACTCTGGGTTGCGAAATGCCCCGAGCTCAGGTGGTCAGGCCACTATCGCCTGCGACATCTCTGCGGCATGTGCGGGCATGTGCGTCTATGCTTTCAGAGTTTTGCTTGACCGTGCATTCGACTGTGCGTCGGACGGTGTGGCATATGCGCGCATGTGCGGCAATGCTGTTGAGGCTTTTGTATACTTGCATGGGCATGTGCATGCGACTGTGCGGCATGTGCCTGCATGTGCGGCCCCTTCCGGACCGCAATTTCAAAGTGAGCACTATAGAAGTGAGCGCTATAGAAGTGAGTCCGGTGTAACGTAGATCAATGTGCTCGCCCGTTCAGATGCTTTGCCCTTCCTGTTTTCGATTGGTCACGCGTTAGTGTTGAGCAAAATGTCCAGAAGAAGGTTGGGACCAATGGGAAAGACAACAGGCGGAAATGGGAGTAACAATTCCGTCAGTCCAAGTGTCAACGGACAACTTGACCGAAGCCAACAAAATCTCTACATCGAATAAAGTAGGAGGCGTAGATTTCTGGGTGATTGCTGAACTCCATCAACGGCCCAGCCGTCCTGATGAAGCAATAGTATCCCGTGAAAAAAAAAGCCGAAATGTCGAAAGGCGTATACGATGACATTATGGTCCAGCGGCACAAGCTAAGTATCCCAACGCGAGCGCTGCCCTTCTGGCTTGATTTGATTTCCATGTTTGGCTGCATGTCCATTGCAGAGCGCAATGTTGAAGGATATGATCGGCCAGGAATTTTCAAAGTTGCAACACACATCCTTGAATATTTGCCCACATCCGCGGTCTCGGCGCCATCAAGCACTGACGTTATTCATGACGTGCCGCTTGAATTGTCCGAGCTCGTGGATAGAATATGGGCCGAACCATTTGACCGAATCCCCACCCATGGACGAGGGGACGGATACTGTTGGCCGTACGAGAAGTGATATTCTGATTCATGTATGTATGACTTTGTGTAGCATTTCCGGGATACGAAGTACAGCGCAACACCAATTATGCAGATGTCGTTCGTGAAGCAACTCGTGATGCATATGCCTTGGACTGCCGAATTAGGTCCGCAATTCAATCATTCGACCTACCCCACGAATGGACCAAAGGATTAGGAAATGAAGTTTCGGAAACTGTCAGACAAAATTGCACAAGTATTACAGATGCTATTGTTTTCGTGCACACGTCTACAGACTCCCCGTTCCACGCCAAGGTTCGCGTGTCAAATAGGCTTTTTGGATTCTTAAGCACAGAGCGCCACTGGTCTTACCCAGCGTCTCAAGAAGCAAAAGGAGGGGAGCGGCCCAGCTGACTCTCACAGAGACTATACAGCCTGCCGCAGATACCGCCGTCATGCTAGCTGAAGCCCAAGCCCCTTGCGGCCCTGCCGCCTCGCGGGCATCGAGACCGAGATCAATTTGGGCGGAGAGACGATCCTATAGGTTCGCTCCTTGTACTCCCGTGCCCGCCGGCCCAGCCGCGTCGGGCAGTAACGCCGGCTGGATTGACCGTGATCGGGTCCGGTCGTGGGCACATGAGCCCGTTGTAGAAGCGGGCGGCCACGCGAGCGGTGGCGGTTGGGACACGACGCTGGATCACGAGGACAAAAACGATAATGGATAAGTACAAGGATATGATGTTCATGTGATTCGCCATCAGAATTTCACAGGTCATACCAAAACTTGGCAACGGTTTAGTTTGAACGAGTACTACAAATTTCATCGTGACCCTTGCACGCCAAGTACCCTGCTTGAGCCTTTGGCATCACCTACGCCGAAGGCGAGGCCAGCCGACAAAGGCCAGGGCAAGGACCAGTCAGACAGCTGGAATCCGAGCAGAAGAAGAGACAGATATGACAATTATCCAAGAGATCAGTACCAGTGGAACTGGCACAACAGTGACCCTTGGGACGGTTTTCGAGATTCGAGGAATGATTGGCAGAGATAATACAGTACAAGAAGGATCAGTACGACTTCGTCGATACTTGTCCACAGTTCATCATGAAGCGGGCGCGCGAAAGGTGTGCATGGGCATTCTGGCCTGAGTTGCCAAAATATTAGCTCAGGCGGGGTTCGTCGGGTTGCTTCGGTCTTCCGCCCCCTGGCAACCGCCGCTGAGCGGTAAAATGTTCTTGGGGTTCGCTCCAGTGGCTGTACATGTATGTACAGGCCAGGTGGGTTGGGGGCCAGGTCGACTCTACGCATCCCGCCGCGCGTGGAGTCAACGCACTTTTTTCGCACCACCGCCCTGCTGCCCGTCCTGCTCTCTAGCCTTGCTTGCACTGTCTGCCTCTCTTCTTTACTTGGGCGTTTTACCTGAAGCTGTTTGGCTCTGGGGAAACAGAAAAGGAGCGAGCCTGCGGCGCGCGCGCGTGCGTCGTGCGGCGGGCCGGCCTCCTCCCTTCAGGGTTACCCCATTGAATGCTTAACAGTTTTATCTTTTCTCCCCCATGTCATCGGCGAAGCCCACTGACCATGATATACCTGATATACCAACAGAACAGATTGCAGGGATTATGAATATTCAGGCCAAACACGGTTGCGGCTGTCAAGCAGGCTACGCACGAGAAGTCGGAGGGGAAGAAGCAGGAAGGGGAGGAGGAGGAGGAGGAGGACCGAGGAGGAGGAGGGGGAGGAGTTGCAGGAGATGATGAGGAGGATGGAGGAGACCCTTGCCCACCTGAGGTCGCCTCCATCTCCCACTGCGCTCAGTCCTCTCCCCTCCTGCTTCCCAGACCTCCTCACTCCTACAATCGTCGAACCGTCCCTCCTCGCTCCTCTATTCCCGTCGCGATATACCAAACGGTGGCGGGCAGCGACGCAACCGTGGTGGACAACAGGTCTGTAGGATTTGGGCTATGTTTGGGAGAGTGCAGCCGCGCGTGCCGGCATCGGCGCCTTGTTCGTTCGCTCGCATCTCCCTCGCATCAATCTCTTCCGTCCTCATCACATTGCCCTTCCGTCCCTTCAGCACTCCTCCGCCGCATTAACCTATGTTCTTCCCCCTACACACTTTCCTCTCCCATTTCTCTCTCTCTCTCTCTCTTTCCCTTTCTTTCCCCTGTCTCTCCCGTCCACAGGGATTTCACCCTCGCGAAGCTGCATCCAGCCACAATTCCTCGGACGGAGATCGCAAGAAAGGCAGTGTTGACATGCGCTGCGTGCTTGAAATTCTGCCAGAACGTACGGTTTCCCAGGACCTTTGTGCTCCGCAGGACGTCACTCTAGGGCTACGGTGTTCCTGCGCGGCATGTGTTGGATCGGATCACTGCTGCACGTGATGGTGTTACGTGCGAGGTCTTGTCCAGCTCCGGCTGCTGCAAGGGGCCTCGACTCCCATCCGGACAACCAAACCGACAGATATGTAACGAGAACGCCCGCGCACAGACAGGAGGGACGGGAGAGGGGGAGGGAGGTGGTTTAAGAAAGAGGGCGATGAAAAGTGGCGAGAGGCGACGACGACAACAATTACAACGACCACGACCACGACTGCTGCTACGCCACGACCACGCCCACGACGAATGGGATCATCGGGCACAACGAAGGTGATCACGACGACGACCACGTCCACGACCCCGACGACGGTCACGATCACGGCCACGACCACGGCGACCAGAAAGGCGACCACAACGACGACGACGACCACGACCACGACGACCACGACGAGGACGACCACGACCACCACGACCGCGACGACCACGGCGACGACAACGACGACGACGTCGACGAGGGCGGCGGCGGCGACGACGACACCGCGGCGCCGACGGCCACGGCGGCTGCGATGGGAACGGGCCGCCGCGCCAGGCCGCCCCGTCGGAACCGTCCTCGCCGGTGTCTCCCGCCCGCTCCTCCAGGGCCCAGGAGCTCTGGCCGCCACCCGACTGGCTTGTCGCCGGCTTGTCGCCGGCATGTCGGGGACCTTCCCCGTGAAGCAGTGGCGAAGCGTCTTGGCCTGCCTGCGCAGCGGAGACTCATGCCAAGAGACGTGGTACGCCTATAGCAATGAAAGGACGGTCAGTCCTTGCTCAATTCCCTCGCCTCCTCGCGTCGCGAGAAATTTGTCGTGATTCACGGTTTGGGTTTTTTGTGCCCCCGAGACCTTTGCCCGGCCCCAGGGCTGTCAACAGAGGGAGGCAGGGCGAAAAGCCGGTCTTGGGGGAGTTGTTTGAGCCTCTGAAGTCGACGTCGAGTAACAAAAAAACTACGTCTGAGGTCTGAATGAGGATGAGGAAGATGAGGATGATTGTGATGATGAAGGTTACAATTAAGAATATGTTGGTGGTGATGATGATGGTGATGGTGATGGTGATGATGATGGTTGTTGTGATGATGCTGATGATGATGCTGGTGTTGATGTTAATGATGATGCTGATGCTGATGATGGTGATGATGGTGATGGTGTGATGGTGATGATGGTGATGGTGATAGTGAAGGCGATGGTGTGATGGTGATGGTGATCGTAATCGTGATGGTGTTGATGATGGTTATGATATGATTTTGCTTATGATTATGAGTATGATGGTGGTGGTGATGGTGATGATGATGGTGGTGATGATGACGGTGGTGGTGATAATAGTGATGGTGATGGTGATGGTGGTGTTGGTGGTGATAATGATGAGGAAGACGAGGATGAGGATCAGGATGAGGATGAGGATGTTGATGAGGATGAGGATGGACACGAGGAGGAGGAGGAGGAAGTTGCTCATGATGCTGATGGTGACGATGGTGATGATATTGATGATGATCAGTAGGAGGAGGCTGATAATGATAGTGCTGATTATGATGCTGCTGTTGCAGGTGATGCAGATGATGATGATGCTGATGCTGATGCTGCTGCTGCTGCTGATGATGATGATGATGATGATGATGATGGTGATGGTGATGGTGATGGTGATGGTGATGGTGATGGTGATGGTGAGAAGAAGGATGAGGAGGAGGAGGATAATGAGGAGGAGGAAGGCCGTCACATGTGACACCTTTCGTCTTCATGAGGTGCCATCATGGAAGTCGTTTTGGCCGCCTTGTCTGTCTTGGCTTCCTGTGAGGCAGTCTTTGGGGCCCTCTTGGACCCGTTGGGTGCCCTGTTTGGGGCTGTTTGGGGGCACTCCTGGGCAATATTGGGGCTCTCTTGGAGACTCTTCGGCCGTCTTGGGGTTCTCTTGGGGGCCTCTTGGGCCGTCTTGGGACGTCGGTAGCTCAAAAAGGCGAGAACGCGAAGAACAATGAAAACAGTTGGTAAAACATTGATTTCTGCCTCCCGAGGCTCTGGGGGCTCTCTTGGGACGACTCGAAGGCCTCTTGGGCCGTCTTGAGGCCATCTGGGCTTCTCGTGAGGACTCGTAGACGGCCCGGTGGGGTGGAGGGAAGCGTCCGTCGCGGGGGGGGGGGGGGGGGGGGGGCACGGCCCATGCTGCCGCGCGCGGCGCGGAGGAGGGAGGGCCCTGGGGCGCTCCCCCATCCCCCTCCCTGGAGGGAGGAGAGGAGGTCGGAGGGAGGGAGGGAGGGAGAAAGAGGGAGGAGGAGGAGGAGGAGAGGAGGAGAGGGGAGAGGGAGGGACGAGGGACGAGGGACGGGGACCGAGGGACGAGGGAGGAGGAAGGGAGGAGGGAGAAAGGTAGAAAGGCAGGGAGGGAGGGAGGGAGGGAGGGGGGGGGAGGAGGAGGAGGGGGGGGGGGAGAGGAGGAGGAGGAGGACCAGCGGCGAAGTCCAAACCCTGCACTCGCCGATCAACGATTCAGGCAACTCGATGGACGGCGGGTGGGGGGTCGGGATTCGTCGACCAGGTGACGAAATCCAAACCCTTCCCCAGCCTCCCATCGATCCAGGATAATCGATGGTCATTGGACGTAGGGTTCGGATGTCACCACCCGCAGGAGGCGGAGGCGGGGGGAGGGGAAGGGGGAGGAGGAGGAGGGAGGGGAAGAGGGACGAGGAGGAGGGAGGAGGTCCGGCTCTCGAACCCGCCTGGCGCTGATCGCATGGACCGCCGCTTGAGACCACGCCCTCCCCCCCGAAAGAAGGAGGAGGAGGAGAAGGCAGGGTTGAGCTGAAGGAGGGGGGAGGTCGAGTTGATGCACTGCTGAACCTAAGAGTGGGCCGAATCTTCGGACTCTTCAGGATCTTGTGGAGTGGGCGAGGAGGTGGAGGAGGAGGAACAGGAGAAGCATGAGGAGGAGGAGGAGGAGGAAGAGGAGGAGGAGAGGAAGAGGAGGGAGGGAGGAGGAGAGGGAGGGAGGGAGGGAGGGAGGGAGGGAGGAGGGAGGGAGGGAGGGAGGGAGGGGGGAGGGAGGGAGGGAGGAGGGAGGAGGGAGGAGGGAGGAGGGAGAGGAGGAGGAGGAGGAGGAGGAGGAGGAGGAGGAGGAGCAGGGGAGAGGAGGGAGGAGGAGGAGGGGAGGGGGAGGGAGGAGGAGGAGGAGGAGGAGGAGGAGGAGGAGGAGGAGGAGGAGGAGGAGGAGGAGGAGGAGGAGGACGGGGAGGAGGAGGAGGAGGAGGAGGAGGAGGAGGAGGAGGAGGAGGAGGAGGACGGGGCCGCCGACATCTCAAGTGCCCTCCCTCCGAGTGTCCAGTTCCCGCTCCTCCCCCTCCCCTGCCTGGGAGGAGAGGGCGAAATGTTCGGATGCCGCCGGAGATGGCGTTGGCCCGAGAGGCTTGGATGGCCTCCAGAGCACCCCTCTTGAGGTCCAGAGAACCAGGGGTCCAGAATGGTTCGAAAGGTTTCGGAGACCTTGGGCCATGAGCACACGCGGCAACCCTGAACGCTTCGGCGTGTCGTGTCCCACCATTTCGGGGCCGATGGCGATCCGATCGATCCGATTCGATGTCAATTGCGGCCGACGCGATCCGAATCGCTTGTGATGTTTCCGTCCATACAGCGACGCCCGATGGGTGCATGGCTTTGGTGTGCATCTTGGGCGCGGTCGATGCGACTCGACATCGATTCCGTGACGATGCAGCACGGTTCAATGCATGCTCCAACCCGATCCGATTTCCCGATTCGGTGCCGATCGACCTTGCCTTTTCCAGCGCCGCCCGCAGGAGAGCCCGCAGACGCGACTTCGGCCGCGCTTATGGCCGCCGGCGGCGCCGCCCGCGCGCCCGTGTTCGCGGCTCGGCTTTATGGGCACTCGATTGATTCGATCGCGTTGGTTGTTCTCCCGCGGCGCGCCGAAAGGTGGGTGGAGCGACTTACTCCTCGTCCTCCTCATCCTCCCCCTCATCCTTCTCCAATGCCTGCTCTCATTAATCATATCTGTTCTTCCTCTCCCTCCTCCTCCTTCTCATCCTCCTCCTCCTCCCCGAGCTGCTCCCGAAGCTGCTCTAGCAGTCGGACACGGTGCAGCACCAGCTCTACGCACAGCGGGACCGAGTCGCCGCTCGTATCAGCGCCTCGAAGAGCTTCAACTGCCACAAGGGGATGGAGCGTGCACACATTACGGTGCTGCTCAAGATTCAGATCAAGGAGCCCACAGCGGCGATCGACAAGCGCAGGGAGGTCGGGGCCTACCTCGCGGATTGGAGCCGCCTGTACAAACGGCCTTTCCCGTGGGAGCTGGACTACACGAGGTACCAGTGCGACGAGCTGGAGGGCTTCTACAGCAAGTGGATGCACAGCGACACCGGCTGGGGCCACGACGAGGTCGTGAAAAACGAGGCGCCGAGCAGCAGCGCGCAGGACACGGAGGGGGTCGAAGTGCGATGGGGCCTGTCCGCCAGCTTTGCCAAGTAGCACGGTGCTCAGCAGCAGGGTGCCGAAGAGCACGGTGCTCAGCAGCAGTAGCGCGGTGCCCAGCAGCAGTAGCAGTAGCACGGTGCTCAGCAGCAGTAGCGCGGCGTTCAGTAGCACGGTGCTCACCAGCGGCCGCCCTGAAGCACTGTGCTCAGCAGGAGGGTTGGAAGGCAGTCGGCCTCGCCCTCGCCATAATGCGTCAGCCTGAAGAGGACGGGGCGGGGGGAAGGGGAGCGGCGTGAGTTGTGGAGTGCGGGGGCGCGCAGAGGTCTTCAGCAGGGGTCGCCGCGCCCCCGAGCAACGGGGACATCGCCCCCTCAAAGCCCCCGATGGGGGGCGCTCGCGACCATGCCCCCCCCCCCCCCCCAAGGGCCATTACCTTTTTTACATCCACCTCCTCCTCCTCCGCCTCCTCCTCCGCCTCCGCCTCCGCCTCCTCCTCCTCGTCCCTCCTCCTCCTCCTCCTCCTCCCTCCTCCTCCTCTCCTCCTCCTCCCCCCCTCCTCCTCTTCCTCCTCCTCCTCCTCCTCCTCCTCCTCCCCCTCCTCCTCCTCCTCCTCCTCCTCCTCCCCCCTCCTCCTCCCTCCTCCTCCTCCTCCTCCTCCTCCTCCTCCTCCTCCTCCTCCTCCTCCTCCTCCTCTCCTCCTTCCTCCTCCTCCTCCCCCCCCCCCTCCCTCCTCATCCTACTCATCCTCCCCCTGCCCACTTTCTTCGCGATGACGTTTGCCCTAAAGGGGGGCAGGCTGTTACTCGAAGACGTCTAAGAAGCCCTTTCGGGTGGTAGGCGGGCTGCAGAGAACCCCCTGCCTTCTTATAGGGCCGCCCCCCCGCCGCGCACCCTTGTGCGCGCCGCCAGTCTGCGCACCGCTTCTCACTCTCGCAGCTTCGTGTCGTCTCGGAAGCTCGGCGTCGGAGATTGTTCAAGGTTGAACGATACACGGTGTGACGGGCCCACAATGCAGGTGGTTTCGGGGAGGTTGTAGGGAGTTCCAAGGTGCTTCACGGCCCTCGATGGGGCTTGGGCTATGAAGATTGCGCGAGGTCGTACACCCATGGCGACGGAAACGCTGTTCAGGCACGGGTGCTACCCGAGCGATGTCCCAGGGGTATCCAGAGATTTCTGGTGGCCGCCGTGTCCACTGCGGGTGGATTCCGCAAAAGCACCGGCTGGGGTGATATGCGCCTACAGAGGTTCGAGGCGAGAGTCGACCCTCACCGAACAGCTTCATGCGCTGTTCACAGGGCCACGCGCTTCTCCGCCCCCGACGGGGCGCACGACTGGTTTGCCTGGTGGAGGCTCTACGCGTGGACGGGCCTGACAAGTTTGTCGGGGCTGCTGTCAGGAGAGACCATTGCGTTTGCTCCAGGAGCTGTGTGTGGATGAGAAGGGACATTCAGTCAACACGGACAGCCAGGATGAACGGTGTTCCAAGGTCAAGGTTTACGGTTGCATCCTTCCCCTTCGGCCCGTCCTTGGGCCGTGCCCCGATCGAAAAGTGCCGGCATGGCTTTCCAAGGCCCCTGCATCCTTATCGCGCATCCTTATCATACACGTGGACCGTATCCTGCAATTTCCTCTTTCCGGAGGCGGCGTGTTCCGGCTTCTGGTGCGCAGGGAGGCGTCGGCGGTCGAGGGAGGGGCCGCCGAGTCTGCCACGTGTAGTCAGCGGTCTGCCCGACACCGCGGGCAGGTGTTGTTTTGCTCCGGCTGAGGCGCAGCTGCATCATGATGTGCATCAGTTGTGTGGTCCTCATGGAGCTTCAGAGGGTCCCAAAGTTCCTTGCGGTTTTGGGGATGCTGTCTAGATTTCGACGGGTTTTGTGAAAATTTGGACGAAGTCTGGACGAGGGTGAAGAGGACTGGTCGAAACCTGGACGACATCCGCTCGAAATCGCGTCTATGATAGGGCCGCGGACGTCCGCAGAAACTCCCATGAAGGCTCACCCAAAGCCATTAGCGCCGGTTATGTGTTCATCGGGCCAGGGCGGTTGATCGTAAGACCGTGCAGCTGTTGGCACGCCGCCTCACCCCACCCAACATGCGAGTTTTTCCTGCCGCGTGCGTCAGTTAGCACCTGTCGAACGTCGTCCACCGTCGTCCTGTGTACTTGACAGATTGTCACTAACCACTGCAATCGCCTTCAACTCACTTTCGATGTGTGCTGGGCGTGCCAGGATGAAGCAGAGCGAAATGAGCTCAGTTCCCGTCAACCTAGGATTTCCGCCTACTTGTTCTTCATGTGTTGAAGCTCTTGTCCGTCTGCCACTTACTAATTGATTCGAATGTCGGTTGTGCTTGTATGCATTCTTCCCCCAGTCGGTTTCATGGCAAGCAGGAGCACGAGAAGCAGGATGAGCAGGAGAAGAGAAGGGAGGAGTAGGAGGAGGTATCGAGTGACAAATTCGGGTGTTGCTTATCGATCACCGTTTGCATTTGTCATTGTTTGCCACTTGCGGCTGTGTTTGCATCCTCCTGCTGCTCCTCTTCCCTTCTTCTCCTTCTCATCCTCCTCCCTCCTCCCTTCCTCCCTCCCACCCTCCCTCTCTCGTCCTTCTCCTTCTCCTCCTCCTCCTCCTTCTCCTCCTCTTTTGTGTTCCTCCTCAACCTGCTCCTCTTCCTCCTCCCTCTCCCTCCTTCCCACCACCTCCCTGCTCACTCCCCCTCCTGCCCTTTGTCCTCCCGGGACTTGGAGATACCGCTCCGCGGCCGGAGGATTCGGCTTCCCTGACCTCAGCCGCGAGGTGGCCCGTGCCAAGGCGGCCATTTCCTTCAGGACGAACGAGCTCGTCATCGATGAATGTCACACGGCATAAACAGAAACTTTTGGAGCTCCGCGCGGATGTGTTGGATCGGCGTTGTGCACCCTTGGCGGCGCCTCCAGCGCCGCCCCCAGCGCGCTCCGCGCGCGAGGGAGGGTGGTCCAGCGCCGATCCCAGAAATCCGCGCGGACCTCCGACGGTTTATCTTTATGCCATCTGTTGATCCTCCAATTACAGTCGGACCGAGGTACAAGATCGAGGTCGGTCCGGGGAGGGCACCCTCAAGTCCTTCGTGCCTGTTGGATTCTCTTGTGCATCCCGGGGAGGGTACCCTTGGATGTTCTCTGTGTGCTTTGGCCGACGGAGGGTCCCATGCTGTTGAAGGATGCTCTTCTGTCGGGTACAGCCAGGACCCCGGGTAAGGGGACCCGGTTAGTGGTAGGGCCCGGGGGCCCCTCAATCGGCCAGATTCACTAAACCAGGTTTGCCGTAACTGGTATTTTTCGGGTGACGGCAGTTCCGGTTAGTGGAGATGGGACGGGGGTGCGCCCCCGGAACAAATCCCTAAACCAGGTTCCACTGAACCCAGTTCTGCCAACGCCAGATGCTGGCCCAGGTCCCAGTGCACGTCTTGCCCAGCCCTCCGACGTCCTCGAGATATCACGGGGGGCCTCGCGTCCGGGCTTTGCTCCGGAGGGCGCAGCGGGCGGCCCTGCCTTGCCTCGGGCCTGTCAGGTGCCCTGGCCGATCGATCCGGCTCGACACATCCCGCGTGGTCGTGCGGGCCCAGGACTGCCACGGAACCCAGATGCCCTCGGGTCATGGAAGTTCGCCTGGCGAAAGGCCCAACCATCTGCAGTTGTGCACGCCGTCGTTGTATGCACCGCAGTCGGTGGAGCTCCCCATGGGATCACGACACGTGTGAGGGCTGTGCCCAAATTTGTGCGACGGGCGCATGCGTGCGCTTGCACTTGGGCCGTCGGTGAAGCTCCCCATGGGGCCACTAAACGTGTGGGGGTGTGCCAAAGTGAGGGGGGAGGAGGACGAGGAGGAGGAGAACAAGGACGAGGAGGAGGAGGAGGAGGAGGAGGAGAGGAGGAGTGGTCGCGGGGATCTCTCTGCAAAAACGAGGATCCGACACCACAGGATGGTTGTGGAAAAGCATGACGGGAGGTTTTCGTTATGTTCGGCCTCGGGGGCCCCTTACCAGCCCTCGAGAAACGATTTGGGATGAATAACTGGTTCTGGGGAATGGGTCCATACCGTTCGGGGTCACGTCATGAAATGACCTCGGGGGGTTGGAAAAGAGGGCGAGGGGGTAAAAAAGACAGAACAAGCTGGGGAGGCTTCAGGACGATGATGACGCGTTCCAGAACGATCTCAGAGCGCTCTTCAGCGCTCGGCGCCCGATGCCCGGTACATCCTCCAAAGCCGCCAGATCTTAGAGACCACCATTTTTTCCAGGCCGAGGTTGTCCAGGTCGCGGCTTCGAATTTCGTGGAATTTGGAGTTCAGGTCAAGCGTTTCTCAATCGTTTCGGATGTCGCGGCCCTGCGTTTGAAGGATATCAGGGATCGGACGGGGCAGTGTTGAGGTCGCGATCTGACTGCGTCGCGGTGGTGCTCCACGAGGTCGGATGCTGGGATCCCGCCCTCGGGGGACATGCTTTCGGCGATCGACGCTTGATCCAACTTTCGCGGCCAGCAGTTGTCCTGCACAGGTTGTTCGACATCGTCACTCCAGCAGATTCTGGGGCGCCCAGGGCGTCGGCAAGCCGACGTGCGCAAGTCGAGGGGGAAAAGGGAGGCTGCGGGGGCCTGTTGAAGGGCAATTGCTTGAACTTCTGATGAGTTCCGACTACAAGGATGGATCAGGCGATCCCAAGTGCATCCGACGACTGCACCTGCGCCGTATTCAGACAGTCGATTCCACGCGTGTGCCGGCGCGTTCACGGCATCACGTGTCCAGAGCATTGTTAGGGCGAGGGCCCCAGGGCTCAGGAAGGTAGGGAAGAAGGGGTGGCAGAACGATGGAGGTTTCCCGAACGTTATACATATATATATATATATATATACATATATACGTGTGTATCTCTCTATATCTATATATATACTATATGAGTAGGCCGGGGGGGGGGGGGGAAATCGATGCCGTCATCCCCCATGGCAGCCCCCCCGAACCTTTGGGGGGTCACAGACACCCCGGGACTGCCCCGGGCCGCTTCCAAATTGCCCACGACAGGCCACGCGGGCCGTACAGATGATCACGAAAGCCTGAAGAGGCCCCGAAGACGCCCAAGAGCGCCCCAAGAGGGCCCGTGAGGGCCCCAAGAGGGCCTTCAAGAGGCAAAAATCTGCCCATTTCCATCGTAAAACGTGCATTTTCGGCATACTCGCTGGCTTCGTCTTCACAGTGCCTCGATCAGGGAAGTGGGCAGCACACAGAGGATGGGTCCCCCAGTGGAGGCCTCTAGGAGCGTTTGGGGGCATCTTGGCGGTCCCTGGGCGCCTCTTAGAGCGTCTTGGGTGCCTCGGAGAGATTCTTGGGGCCTCTTTGGGGTCTATTGGGGGCCTCTTGGAGGCCTCTGGGGCCCTGGCGGGCCAACACCAGCCCCAAAGGACTCCAAAGGAAGGCCTGGCTCGCCGCCGTCGTCGCGACCGCCAGGAGAGAAAGAGTGTCGCCGTTTCGTCCATGTACTTGGCATCGTTCGGACGTGTGCACTTTTTCTCGGCGAGCACCATCGAGGATCATTTTTGATTTTTCTGCGAGAAAAAACTCTCACGAAACCGCGAAAAATGCACGGGGAGTGGACGTCCGAGCGATGGCGAGCGTTGCGCTTTTCGCCTGGAGGCCCACGACAACCCCAGGGAGGCGAGCTACGAAGCGGCCGCGTTCAGGAGAGCTGCCTCCACAGCGGCCCTCGGGAGCCAGAGGAAGGCGTAGGTAACGAAGGAGGAGGACGGCAGCGGTGCTCGCGCGGTGGTGGGGTGGAAGAACCCGAGATGTAGGAGGAGACGGCGAGGGTGACGAGCGAACCGGGAGGAGGACGAGGGGAAGGAGCCGAGGGATGAGGAGGAGGAAAAGAAGAAGGGGGACGAGGGAGGAGAAGGAGGAGGAGGAGGAGGAGGAGGAGGAGAAGGAGCAGGAGCAGGAGCAGGAGCAGGAGCAGGAGCAGGAGCAGGAGCAGGAGCAGCAGGAGCAGCAGCAGGAGGAGGGATGCACGAGACCTGAGGGACACGGGTGCCCGCCGAGCGGTCCTGGAGCGCAGTACCAGCCAGGCGCCGCCAGCGAGCCATCGCCTGCGCGGGCAGCACGCGGCGCCCGTGCGAGCGACGAGGCCGGCCGCAAGAGCCCGACCGCCGCAGTGGCCAGGTGTCCGCGGTGATTCCTTCTCGCAGGGCCGCGCGCCGCCCGCCAGGCGTAGCAGGTGCGGGTTCGCGGGACCGCGGCCGCCGTCCTGCGGCATGCCGCGCGGGGGCCGCGCGCCACGCCGGGGGCCTGGCTGCCACCCGGCAGGCGCCGCGGGCCGTGCAGCACGGCGCTCAGCGGCTCAGCACGACGAGCACCGTGCCGAGCGAGGCCACCAGGCCCAGCGTCACGAGGGAGGAGAGCTCGGGCGCTCCGCATCTGCGGAAGCAGCGCCCGCCGCGTGCGCCAACGCCCCATGCCGCCCAGGTGGCGAGATGGGGCGCGGGGGGGGGAGAGGGAGGCGGCGGACCCAGCAGTCGGGCCCGAGCCAGACCCGACTGCAGGAGGAGGGGGGGAAGAGGCAGGAGGAGGAGGAGGAGGAGGAGGAGGAGGAGAAGAAGAGGGAGGAGGAGCAGGAGGACCAGTGCAAACCCAAGACTCGTCAGCCATGTTGCAATGCCTTCCCCCCATGTTCTCTCTGCATAGGCTTCTACATGTAATGAATTATTTTCACTACGCGAAGAGCCCCGTTGGAAGATAATCGTTTCAAAATCTTCAACTGTGCCAAAACACCTTTCTTGGAACTTAAATTGCGATCCAAATTTACTTGTGCGACCTTGTCGATCCTAAATCGTACCCGAACGCCGTCACTGGCACGTCAACACCGCGAATCAACGCGTCTGTCGCGCCCTGACAATCCGAAATCGTTCCAAGAACACCGTAGGAATCCTAGACCTTCCTGCAAAAAGGAGTCGCCCTCCATCGGAGAATCTGTTACAATTTCTGTTGGACGAATGTGCGCGGCGCTGAGGCGAGAACCACATGTTGAAGACGACCCGCCCTCCTTCTGCGAAACTGTTGCAAGCTTTTAAGACGAATGTCTCGGCACTGAGGCGCTAGCCACATTTTGAAAACGGCCCGCCCTCCCCATCCGTGAAACTCCTGCAAACGTGTAAGACGAATGTACTCGGCGATACAGTGGATACGCATGCCAAGAAACATCCAGCTCGCCTCCAGGGTGCCCTGGGTTTCTTGGGCTTCGATGGTTTTGCTGTGGAAAGCGTGACGTTCCCACACCAAAAATCCATGAACGCCTTGGGGTCTCAGGGTTAGGTTTATTGTGTAAGGTTTCCTGTGGTCGGGCCCCTACTGCAAGGCGAGAGCCACATTCTGAAAAAGGAACGCCCCTCCATCCGAGACATTCGACGGCGAGTGTGCGCGGCGCCAAGGCGAGAGCCACATTTTGAAAACGGCCCGCCCTCCACCCGTGTGGCTCTTGCAGACTCGCAGCTTCGGGATACTTAATGGTGAAAAATTGTCGGGCGAAGCGCCCAGCCCGCCTTGCCCACCCGTCTCGGGGTGCGAGAGGGAGGAGGTGTGCAGAAGGACGAAGGATGGAGCAGGACGAGCGAACCGGGAGGAGGACGCGGGGAAGGAGCCGAGGGAGGAGGAGGAAGAGGAGAAGGGGGACCAGGGAGGAAGAGGAGGAGTAGGAGCAGGAGGAGCAGGAGGAGGAGGAGGAAGACGAGAGAGGAAGGAGGATGAGGAGAAGGAGGAGGGG